GGGGGTCGGGGGCGCCCGGGTGGGGGCGGGCAGCGACGACAGAGGTCCCCGGGTGCGCACGCGTCCGCACAGTCCCGCCGGCACCCCGGCACGCCGCTGACGTCGGGCGGAGGGGACGCCCCGAGACAGACCTGCTGCAGACTCGGGCCAGGTGCGGGGACGCGCAGGGCCGAGGAGGGGGCGGCGGCCGTTGGCGGCCCAGGCGGGGCCCGCGGCTCGGCCCGTACCCTCCGCCCCCGGCCCGCAGCTACCGCCCGCCGTGAGGGACGCCCTAGCCGCAGTCCTGTCTCCCCAGCCGACCTCGCTCCGGGCCCCCCCACCCCTGACCAGGAGCTCACCTGCCTCGCGCCACAGCCACCACGGACGGCACCGCCGCTGCCGTCCCAGGCCTGGTCCGCGCCACCCAGACCGGATCCGGAGAGGAGCTCTTGCGGACGCCAGCCAATCATGGGCCGCGCCAGGGGGCGGGGCGGGAGCAACGCGGACTTCCACCAATCTGGAGCGCGCCACCTGAAGCCCCTCGGCCAAGAGGAAGGCGGCCTGTCTAGGAGCCCGGCCAATCGCGAGCGGAGGCCGAGTCCCGAGGCGAAGTGGGCGGGGCTGCGAGGCGACGCGCCGGGCCGTACGGCGAGGGGGGACGTACGCTGCGGGGGCCGTACTGCGGAGGCGGGAGAGCGGCCGCGGGGGGAGGGGCCGCAGGGGGCGGGGGGCGTGAGGCCACCGTCCCCGTACCGCTGCCCCCTCCCTGCAGGGCCGCTGGGGGGCCCGCTGTGGGGCGGGCCAGGAGCCACTGCCGCCCCCCCTTTACAGGAGGGGAGACTGAGGCTCCGGCGGGCGGGACGGCCCCAGCGGGTCCTCGCCTCTCCGCTCGCAAGCGCACGCAACGGCCGCGTCTCTCGGGCAGCGGTGGCGCGTTCGCCGGGAGCGAGTTGTGGGGGTGGGGGGCTGCTGGATCGAGGGAGCGGGGAGGGAGCCGGCAGAAGTGCGCTGTCCTGTAGGGGGGCGCGGCTGCGCGTTAGTTTGGACGCGCGCGCGTGCGGTAGCGGCCGGCCCAGGTGGCCGCACAGGTAAACGTTTGGTCCCTGGGGTGGGGGTGGGGGGGCAAAACTATTCCTGGCAAAAACAACAAAAACAGGGAGGGACTTATTTAGGATTGAACAGGCAACGTCTTGCTCAGAGGATGCTCCGGATGCTCAGAGGAGTGAGAAGCTGTCCGCCGTGCGCGCACACAGTGCCGGGAGGAAACCCGCAGTCCTCTGGGTCTTGTCTCTGCCCCCCGGGGAAAGAGGCCGAAACCAGGGACGGGCCCACCGGTGCTAACTCCAGTGAGCACCTGAGCGAGGGGACGGGTTCCCCCCCTGGAGTCCGTCCTGGGACCCACACCCACCCTTACTGGCTTCCACCTAGTTTGTGCTGGCTTCATCCGGACTCCCTGGCTGGAACTCGTCTGTCCCAGTGAATTGGTTTGCATGAGTCCATCTGCTACCGTCGCGGTGCGGGCCCCTTCAGCACATTAGCAAGTACTCTGAGAGCACGAGGCCACCCCTCGGGAGGAGGCCCGAGAAGGCGGAGACTTCTCTGTGGGCTCCGTTAGCGGACGACCGGGGCCCTGCTTGCCCATCTCCCCCACTTTGCCCCTCCTCCCCCCGGCTGTGGGTCAGCTACTCCGCAGGGCCTTCCCCACTTACCTGGCCCGTCCGCGACCCCTTCATTTCAAACCCAGCGCACTCCTGGACAGCTCCCTGGGTGCATTACCCTCCTTACTGGGGTTGCACTGATGGAACAATCACATTCTCTGTCCCCACACTCCCGGGGCAGGGCTATGCGGGAACAGCACCTGCGCGAGCCTCACAGAGTGGTCTGGGAATGCGGTAAGCAGCTTGGAGGAAGACGAGCAGAGGCAGGGCTAGGGTGTGGGAGGCCTGCAAATGCAGATGTGGCAGGCAGGGAAGGCTGCTGCGGTTGGTGACAGAGGAGGCCCGGAGCGAGCGAACCAGCAACGTTCTGGGCAGAGAGAACAGCACATGCCAGCGCCCTGAGGAGGGAGTTAAGACTTTGAGGCCTTCATTCACTGGTCAAGGAAGCAGAGTATGTGTGGACACTGGCTTCTAGATGGGAAGAAAAGGATTCTTCAAGTGACAGTGTGAAGTCACAAGGGAACGTGACGTCGTAGACTTGAATTATGGAAGAGACACGTCCAAGAACAAAGCTAGTTCTGGAAAAAGAAACGGGCGCCTGGGTGGCTCAGTTGGTTTGGACCAACTTGGTTTCAGCTCAGGTCGTGATCTCAGGGTCATGGGATCCACTCACCGGGGAGTCTGCTTGTCTCTCTCCCTCCCCCTCTGCTCCTCCCCACCCCTGCTCTGCTTCTCTCAAACAAATAAAAATCTTTAAAAAAAAAAAAAAGGGAAAGAAATAGCACCTTACGGTGTCACATAAATGTAGAGGCTGGAACATGAAATGCACTCAGGAAATGACAAGTCTTTAACTGAAAACCGTATATGCACAGCACAGAAAAATGATGCCAGTGATTCTATCCAAGTAGGGGCATCGTAGATTGCTCTTCTTGTCCTATTTGATGTTACTGTATTTTGCACAATGAACGCAAAGTTTTAGAAATTTTAAAAGTTTCTAAATGTTAAACTACAAAAAAGTACTGCAACATGCATCTTGATTCCACTATCCCGAATTAACTATTAATATTTTGTCATACTCTCTTTTTGAAGTTTCATTTTTAAAGAAATAAAACTGCTAGATGACTGGAAAGCTAAATGAAAAGGAACGCTACAGTGTCTAAAGGAGATGATAAGGAGAGCTTGTTTCCCAGCAGCGCAGAAAGATTTCTTAAACAAAACCTCAGAAGTACATGGATGGATCTGATTATGTCAAAATGAACGGTGTCTGGGGCGCCTGGGTGGTGCAATCAGTTAAGCGTCCAACTCTTGGTTTCAGCTCAGGTCATGAACTCAGGGTCATGAGATTGAGCCCTACATCGGGCTCCACGCTCAGTGTAGGGTCTGCTTGAGATTCTCTCCCTCATGTTGTCTCTCTCTCTCTCTAAAATAAATAAATATAATCTTTAAAAAAAAAAAAAAAAGAAAAATGTTCCATAAAAGACACCATGACAAGCCAGCAGCCACTGACTGGTCAGAAGACATTTGCCATGTTTAAAACAGACAAGGAGCTACTGCTTAGAGGGTACGAGGAGCTCCTGGAGATCATCGAGAGGAAGACAGGAACACAGCAGAGAAGTGGGCAAAGGGTATGAACAGGCAATCCACGGGTAAGAACCCTACATGCACGACAAGAATAGAAGAGATGCTCGATGGGGTGCCAAGCTGGTGCACGAGTGTGCAACTCTTCATGTCGGGGTTGTGAGTCTGAGCCCCACGCTGGGCGTAGAGATGACTTAGAAATTTTAAAAATCTTAAAATTCTTTAAAAGTTAAAAAGAGATGCTTGAGCTCATTTGTGATCAGAGAATTCCTTACCACTGCACCTCTGTCTAGTCAGCAGCAGAGAGTGGATAACGCCAAGTGCTGGTGGGCAGGTGGAGGGCACCGGGATGCTCGTGCCCAAGACCCCGACAACCCACCCCCAGGCCCACGGGAAGGGAACTTGAGCAGGGCCTTCCTTCCGAGGTGCCCGTCCCCACACTCTGCGGTGGGCAAACAGGGACACTCCACTGGTCCTGCAAACCTGGACACCCTGGCAGGCGGGGTCCCAGGCAACAAGCTGGATTGTCCCAGGCCAACTGGGCAGATGGCATGCTGGTTACTTGTATGCGTCAACTGGCAGAGAGAATCCCTTTCTCCTCCACCATGTGTTCTCTCCAGGCCCACAGTGAATTGGGCGAGCCCCACCCACACTGGGGAGTGCCATCTGCCTGACTCCAGCTACTGAATCAAATGTTTATCTCACCCAGAAACACCCTCACAGACACGACCAGAATAATCTTTGAACCTATATCTGGGCTCCCCGTGGCCAGTCCAGGTCTTCTCCTGCCTTTGGACTCAGACTCAGACTGGAGCTTACACCATCGGCCCTCCTGGGTCTCCACTGCAGGATGTTTCAGGCTCCATAATCCTGTGAGCCAATTTCATATATATATATATATATATATATATATATCTTCCATGTGTATGCACCTCCCCTGCGTGTGTTCTTCCACTGGTTCTGTTTCTCTGGAGAACACAGACTTGCACAGCATAACACCATTTAGGTGAGTGAAAACACACCCAAAGAGGGCTGGTGTGTAATAAGGACACTTACAGCAAGAAAGAGAGACGCCAACCATAAAATGGGTGCCTGTGGGGAAGGGGACGGCAGTGGAGTAGGGAATGATACGGAGAATAAATGGGGAAAATAAGGAGGGATCAACAATGACAGTGAGCCACGGAGGAGGGCTGAATTACCTCCCCCTTCCACCCTGGACAGGAGAGGGGGGACCATTACACAGATAGATGATAGTTAAATAGGTAAAGAGAAGGATAGATGATTGATAGATGATACATAAACCTAAAGCTCCCTGGTCGCCTTCTCAGCCCTCAACGTCTTCCCTCAACAGGGAGGCTCGTGGACAGATTCGCAGCAGCTCTACTCCCGCACACAAGCAGGTTCCCACAAGGATCACGCCCTGCCACTGGGTGTCAGGTGCGCGTGGACCACAGGTGCACGGCAGCTCTGCTCAGCGTGGCCCTGCTCCCCACATTAGGCTTTGAGATAGAGCCCCTTGGTACCAAGGGCTCTACTCCATTCCTTATGCTGGATGTATCATACTCCACAGTAAGAACAGAGCAAATCTGACCCAACCATTCTTGTACTGATGGGTGTTCAAGCCCTTCCTGGGTCTCACTATTGTGAACACCACCTGTGGGCGTGTCTTCTACCCAGAAATAGGGCCTCTCAGTGCAGAGACAACATGTCACCAGTTATAGATAGACCAAAATTATCTTTATAATAAATGTTCTATAAAGAATTATTATTTTATAATATATGTAAAGCATTTATTAAAATGTTACTAAATACACAGGCACCTGGCTGGCTCAGTCAGTGAAGCATCTGCCTTCGGCTCAGGTCAAGATCCCAGGGTCCTGGGATCGAGCCACGCATCGGGCTCCCTGCTCAGCGGGGAGCTGGCTTCTCCCTCTGCCTCTGCCACTCCCCCTGCTTGTGCTCTCTCACTTGCTCTCTGTCATATAAATCTTTTGAAAAAGTTAGTAAATATAGGTTATGATTACAAACAGTACATTTATATATCATGTAGATATCTGTATGTATCATAGAGATAAATAAGGTGGGTTCAATATGTTTGTATATATATGAATAAATACAACTATATTTATTTACAACTACATAAATTCCAAAGAGTTAATGAAGAAAAACACACCAGATTTCAGTCAAGGCAGAGAAGCAACATAAGCAAACGTTCTCTGCTACTTT